GCATTCACAATATGGTAAAAGAGGCGGGACATTTCCGAGAACCGTGCTGAGCAACTGACCAATAACGACAGAGCGGATCGGCAGACCAATCAGAGCAGACTTGGCCCAAGTGGGGCTCTGCAGTGTGGGCTCAACAGAGTGTAGCTGACGGACTCAGAGCATAGAGGGAGCAAGGAGGAGCAGTACATGAAAACAGACACTTTTTTCAGACTTTAGCTATTGTGAACGTACAAAAGTAGGAACATAGATTAAATATACGAACCCCAAAAAGGGCATAATATGGGCTCTTTAATAACTTTATTTGAAGTTTAAGTTAAGTTGTAAATTAAATAGGCCTAGCCTATTTATACAGTCTATACCGATTTATACAGTCACCTCAATGACTGTAAGCATCTTCTGAAGTCCTGTTAGGTGCATACATTACTGTATCTGCCTTTACACTGAAGTTTTGCGCCTGTAAATTATTTCTGAAAAAAAGTGTTAATAAAGCACTTTACTTAAAACTTTAAGTATGACTCTTACTTCATTAAAACCACGTTTTAAATCATGATTCACCACAACTGGTGCCCCACCCCACCGTTGGGCCAGTGTGGTCAGGCCCTACTGAGTTTCACCCTGCTGCGGGGTGTCCTTTATTTTTCTGCTTGGGAGGTGGCAAACCTAGGTACACCATGTAAAGGGTCGTCAACCAATTCATCAATCAGTCATTTTTTATACCACACCTACAATTCTCTCTGATACACACACATTAGCTCAACACTGTAAAATATTCAAATAACCTCGGCTAGGTGTTTAACAGGTGTGTGTTTGTGTGTGTCTAAGTTGTGTTACAGATGAACAGTTCCAGTCCTCTCCAGTTTCAACTTCTTTCCTCTCTGCTCACCGTTTGTGCCGACAGCTGGAACTCTCACCTGTCTGTGTTCACCTGTCAGTACCTGGGCTACAGGTAACTCACCTGTCTGTGTTCACCTGTCTGTACCTGGGCTACAGGTACTTTAGCTGTGCTCACCTATGTGGTTTTGTCTCTGTACAGGTCAGGGGAGGCGTCTCTGCTGCCGGCTCAACCTGAAGATTCACCGTTTACAAACATCACTATCATCAATGGAACCCTGCAGACCCAAGTCAGGTACTGAACACCTGAACCAGAGTTAAAGACAGAAAGACCGTCAGAGCCTCAAACTGAATCTTTGACGACAAATTCTGCTCATTTTGTGTTTACAGTGAAACCTGCAGCAGTGAGAGAGTGATTTCTTTAACCTGCGACAACCAACGTGAGAGCACTCATAAACACTGACCGTTAAAACTACTCACACCTACACTGATAAACTCTGACTGTTAAAACTACTCACACCTACACTGATAAACTCTGACTGTTAAAACTACTCACACCTACACTGATAAACTCTGACTGTTAAAACTACTCACACCTACACTGATAAACTCTGACTGTTAAAACTACTCACACCTACACTGATAAACTCTGACTGTTAAAACTACTCACACCTACACTCAGAAACACTGCCCGTTAAAGCTACTCACTCCTACACTCAGAAACTCTGACTGTTAAAACTACTCACACCTATACTGATAAACTCTGAAAATTAAAACTAATCACACCTACACTGATAAACTCTGACTGTTAAAACTACTCACACCTACACTGATAAACTCTGACTGTTAAAACTACCTACACCTACACTCAGAAACTCTGACCGTTAAAACTTCTCACTCCTATACTGATAAACTCTGAAAGTTAAAACTACTCACACCTACACTCAGAAACACTTTCAGAATTACATACTTAATTAACGTTTTTCACCCAGCTGATGTTCTATTTATGCTCTTAAGTGTAATTTAGTATTTCTTACAAGTGTAAAGTTCCATATTGAATGATTGATCGATATGTGTCTGTGTTTTTCAGCGTGTGGCGTTCGTCAAGTTTTAAATGACTCGAGAGGGATGGACAAATCAGCAGAGAGGACAACAGGTGCAGGTTTGAGATTAGTTTGAGTCTGACATCTTCTTGTTTGGCTGATACTGGGTTTTTTTCAGTGCAGCTATGCTTATTCTTATCTGTCAGGTGGGGGCAGAGTGGTGGGTGGGGCTAATGCTTTGAAGGGGGCGTGGCCATGGATGGTGTCTCTGTGGTGGAAGGGGCGTCATGTTTGTGGAGCCTCTCTGATTGGTGGAGACTGGCTTCTCACGGCTGCACACTGTGTCTACGGGTGAGACTGAAAACACAAACATTTTATTTAAGCTCTTTAAAAAATCTTAAAAGCACACACCTGTGCTGTCCTTCAGGTGTTTAATGCAACATTTTGAAAGTCTCTGCTCCCGAATGAACTATGTGTTTTTGTCCTACAGGAAGAACGTCCACCTGACATCCTGGTCGGCTGTTTTTGGTCTTCACGCTCAGAGTAACAGCAGCTCCCTGGACGTTCAGACTCGACAAGTCGATCGCATCGTCATCAACAGAGAGTACAACCGACAAACCAAACAGGCGGACATCGCCATGATGCATCTGCAGACGCCAATAAACTTCACCCGTCAGTAAATACGTTAAAAACAATAACTGCAGATCAGTGTGTCCTTACCTATTAATCACTGTGTCCTTAATGTCCTTCAATGTGTCCTTGTGTACTTCGTGTTAATGACTGTGTCCTTGTGTCCTTCAATGTGTACTTGTGTCTTTGTGTCCTTCGTGTTAATCACGTTGTCCTTGTGTCCTTCAATGTGTCCTTGTGTCCTTCGTGTTAATCCTTGTGTCCTTCACTGTGTCCTTGTGTCCTTTGTGTTAATCACTGTGTCCTTGTGTGCTTGTGTCCTTCACTGTGTCCTTCAATGTGTCCTTGTGTTCTTTCGTGTTAATCACTGTGTCCTCAGCATACAGTGTGTGATTTGAAATCCTCGAACATGTGACGTTAGATTGTCTCAGCTGTGAACGATTAATCGATTAAATTTAAAATCACTTTTTCACCTTTTGTTATAGACTCAGTTCAACCACTTTGTTTACCTCCTGGAGGCCACGACCTCTCACCAGGAACACGCTGCTTCATAGCAGGCTGGGGGAAGGAGGAGGAGGGGGGTAAGAAACACACACACACACACACACACACACACAGCTGTCTGTCTCTCCCCAGCTGTCTCTCTCTCCTCATCGGTCTGTCTGTCTGTCAGGTTCCCTCCCTGACGTTCTGCAGGAGGCTCAGGTTCCTCTGGTGGCTCAGGCTCAGTGTCAGGTGCAGTTACCTGAGTACACCATCACCTCCAGCATGCTGTGTGCCGGACTCCCCGAGGGAGGGGTCGACTCCTGCCAGGTAAGTCCTTACCTGGTCCCACCTGGACTCTTTCGTCCACCGGTTGCTGTCTTCAAAGTAAATCAAGTTTAATGTGTTTCCAGGGTGACTCTGGAGGTCCTCTGATGTGCCAGGAAGACACTGGACACTGGACTCTGATTGGTCAGTCAAATATACACACACACACACACAGTATGAAACAGTGTGATGAGTGTGAGGACAGAATAAATGATGCATTCTGATTGGCTTCTGGTAGGTGTGACATCATTTGGCTTTGGATGTGGACGTCCTCAGAGACCTGGAGTCTACGCACGAGTCTCCGCCTTCACTTCCTGGATCGCTCAGACCAGACGCTTCTCCTGATAATTCAACTCTGTTATCAACAAATTAACAAACAAACGAATAAATCAGGACTGTCAGCATTAACGAGTTCATCACATTAACCTCACGTTTGTCCCTTCAGGCTCCCCGTAGATAGTAGTCCTCAGTGTCTCCCTGTAGTCTCAGTGATGTAAAAGAACACTGCTACATCTTTGAATGTCTCGTTTCACTTTAGCAAACTCTCAGACAGCTCAGCTGACGAGTCCAAAGTAATATCCACCTTATGACATCACACATTGACCTTTGTTACTGTTCCTTTGAGCTGTTTGACCTCACTTTGGGATCCCTAACCACTTCCTGTTTCTGTGCTTAACTTCCTGTCCTAACCTTCACTCTACAGGAAGGGCCTTACTTTATTTCAAAATAAAAGCACACAGCAAGAAAAGAAGTCTCATCTTAAAGGCCCTGCCACATAGTGGCGACGAAGGCCGCTTGTGGCATGTGTGAGAGGAAATAATTCTTCATGCCAGCAGGGGGCAGTAGTCTGTAATCGTCATTCCAAAAAGGGGAAACTGGAAGAGGAAGAGGAGGAACGCGGATAAATAAACCGTTTTTATGATACGAGAAGGCCATTTCCTCACTGGTGTAGCTCAACACTTGTAATATAGGTACTTTTAATGGAGAATAATGTCTGATTAAAAGTCTTTACTTGCTTTGGTCACTTCCGTTTTTCTTCTCATGCACTGATTCGCTTAGCTGAATAGCCAATCAAAGGTACTCCTGTCACCAACCATGCAGACGGCTGAAAAAAGGCCAATGGGGGCCGACGTGGCCGACGGAGCTGAACACACCACAAAACCAGATCTACGATCGCTCGAGTCAGTCCTTGGTGTGTCAGGGCCTTCAGACAGGACAGATCTTCAGAATAAAAGCCTAACTGTTTTCCTTTTGTTAATGTGAAATAATGGAATTTCAGACATGTGATTAAAACATTTACTCTTTTAACAGCCCTAAAAAATAAATGTATAATAATGTGTAAATAAAACATGAGGTTTATCTTCTCACAGTTAAACTTCTCAGAGAAATAACCGCCTGTTACTATTTCTAATCGTTGTCTGTCAGCTTTATTTCCATCATCACTTCATGAATCTGAGAACATTGGACTATGTTTGGTTCTTCAGATCTTTGAAGGTAAAACATTTGATTCTGATGAATGATACCTCTGTGTTCTTTAAAGGTGACGTGGGATTCTTTTGTTGTGTAAATGAAGTTTTGAATGCTGAGCGTTAAGATAACCTTCATCATGGGAGGGGGTTAATCAACCTGATCTGTTCTGATTCAAACCTGAACCTTCAAAGAGGTTGTGGGCCCGATGGAGCCGGAGCGAGAAAGGAAGACTCCAGACGGTCTAGAAATAAAAAGAAGAGTTTGTCTAGTGAAGGAAGTCAAAGAAAGAGGACAGAGGAGGAGTTTGTGGTTGGAATGATGAGGTCACCCAAACAGACGGACTGTTTAAGGACCCTCATGAGGTTAGGGTCTGTGCAGATAACAAGGGGAGGAACGAGAGTGTTCTGCAAAACGACAAACAGAAAAGGCCATTTAAGTGTAGTGGTGTGACTTTCCACTTGGAAAAGGAGGAAGGAAGAAAGGAGGGGTGAACGGCGTCCCTCTGTCAGTGGACGCTGACTCGTTTCTTGACATGAAGGTATCTGAAGGTTGACGAGGTTTCATGATAAAAAGAGAGCAGCAAGCTAATCTGTGTGTTTGTCATTCAAGGGAGCAATACCAGAGAGAGTGTTTCTGGACTATGTCGTCTACAGAGTAAACCCTAACACCTAACACCTGCTGCCAGGAGTACAGACATGTCGCTGCTGTAGAATGTGGAGATAAGGGAAGTTATGATGACTGTAACACTGAAAAATAAAATGTGTCATACCTTCACTGCAGGGAAACCATTTCACAGGGTCAACACAAAGGATCAAGGAAGTGAAACTGACATACGCTGAGGCTGTGAAAATAATGGACAAAACAGAAGAGCTGATCCGACATGATCCAGCAGGGGGCGGACACGAGCCAGAACCAGAGAAGAAGGACACGAAGAAGAAGCAGAAGAAGAAGAAGAAGACGAAGAAGAAGAAGCATGAGAAGAAGGTTATTAGATAAATGATTAGCTCTGTTTATGTTTTACAGTCCGATCTGATCTTGAACACAAGAACACGTTAAACCGGTCCTGACCGACCCGGGGCGGAGCCGGTTAATCGGTGTCAACGAACAGAAGAAGAAGAAAAACGGGTCAATGTCCCGGAAGTGAAATCATCGTGAAGTGTCTGCAGGCTAACCGGTGTTAGCAGGTACGAAAACAAACCTCTGATTTTAATCTCTTTAATTATTTCTAATCCTAAATTACCTGCCAGACTGAGGACGTCACATGTACCCGTGTTACCACAGATAATTGACAACGAGATTATAGATTAAAGTTCTCTGATATCGCGGCTAATGTAGCAGCTAGCTGTGTTTACATCCTATGTTCATCCACTTTCATACTCACATGCTTATCACACACACACACACACACACACACACACACACACACACACACACACACACACACACACACACACACACACACACACACACACACACACACAGACACAGACACAGACCAACATCCACATTATGGTCCTTTGACTTTCTGCGGCTCTGAAATAATAACCTGTCTGTCTGATCGTGAACTACAGACAGTCAGTTATATTGTTGTTGGTGTCGTGGTGATGATGTGATAGGTTGAAGGATGAGGAGGAGCAGAAGGTTTAGTGGTTGTCATGGTGATGGTGTTATAAGGTGTGGCAGGTCGGAGGATGGGGAGGAGCGGAAGGTTTAGTGGTTGTCATGGTGATGGTGTTATAAGGCGTGGCAGGTCGGAGGATGAGGAGGAGCGGAAGGTTTAGTGGTTGCCATGGTGATGGTGTTATAAGGTGTGGCAGGTCGGAGGATGAGGAGGAGCGGAAGGTTTAGTGGTTGCCATGGTGATGGTGTTATAAGGTGTGGCAGGTCGGAGGATGAGGAGGAGCGCGGAAGGTTTAGTGGTTGTCATGGAGATGGTGTTATAAGGTGTGGCAGGTCGGAGGATGGGGAGGAGCGGAAGGTTTAGCGGTTGTCATGGTGATGGTGTTGTAAGGTGTGGCAGGTCGGAGGATGAGGAGGAGCGGAAGGTTTAGTGGTTGTCATGGTGATGGTGTTATAAGGTGTGGCAGGTCGGAGGATGGGGAGGAGCGGAAGGTTTAGCGGTTGTCATGGTGATGGTGTTATAAGGTGTGGCAGGTCGGAGGATGAGGAGGAGCGGAAGGTTTAGCGGTTGTCATGGTGATGGTGTTGTAAGGTGTGGCAGGTCGGAGGATGAGGAGGAGCGGAAGGTTTAGTGGTTGTCATGGTGATGGTGTTATAAGGTGTGGCAGGTCGGAGGATGAGGAGGAGCGCGGAAGGTTTAGTGGTTGTCATGGAGATGGTGTTATAAGGTGTGGGAGGTCGGAGGATGAGGAGGAGCAGAAGGTTTAGCGGTTGTCATGGTGATGGTGTTATAAGACCTAAGATCCAAACCTGATGTCTGACACGAAGTTTGGGTTAGTTCGGACGTTACGCTCTTCTAGTTAAGATGAACCTCACGTCTCCATGGTAACCAAACCACGACACATCTTAAGTTACAGACTAACTGGTTTACACGTCGGGTTTAGTGAGGACTTAGTGTGCTTAGTGAGTCTGTTGTTTTGACTTCTGACCATTTTATTTTATTCAGTGCCACAGACGTTCAACATGAGCAGCAGAGTGGAAAAACCTCGAGAGCAGGAGGAGCAGGAGGAGGACTTCTACGACTGCCAGGAGACTCTGCAGCACCTCGACCTGAAAGAGAACAAGGAGGAGGATCGGACCCAACAAAAAAAAGAAGGAGGAGCGTCAAAAAACTTTACAAGTGACAGACTGACAGACAGAAGGGAAGGAGGAGGACAGGCGCAGGGAGACAGGCTGCAGGAGGAGGAGCAGGGAGACAGGCTGCAGGACGACAGGCTGCAGCAGGAGGAGGAGCAGGGAGACAGGCTGCAGCAGGAGGAGGAGCAGGGAGACAGGCTGCAGCAGGAGGAGGAGGAGCAGGGAGACAGGCTGCAGGACGACAGGCTGCAGGAGGAGTCTGATTCCGAGTTTAAGGAGGAACCCAGCTGTGAGGTGGAGTTTGATGACGACTACCTGAGGGAGTTGGAGAAGGAGCTGACAGAGGAGGAGAAGGAGGTACCACCTGTTTACCTGTGTGTGTAGGTCATTACGACCTGTAAGACGTTTTGATAATATTATGTCATTGTTTACACACAGACAGTAAAAGCATGAAGTCTTCATGTTGAACCGATTAATTAGTCTTTAATAAACACAATAAATAAAGATTATATAGTCTCATAATAAACAATAAATAAAGATTATATAGTCTCATAATAAAAAATAAATAAAGATTATATAGTCTCATAATAAACAATAAATAAAGATTATTTAGTCTCATAATAAACAATAAATAAAGATTATATAGTCTCATAATAAAAAATAAATAAAGATTATTTAGTCTCATAATAAACAATAAATAAAGATTATATAGTCTCATAATAAACAATAAATAAAGATTATATAGACTCATTATAAACAATAAATAAAGATTATATAGTCTCATTATAAACAATAAATAAAGATTATATAGACTCATTATAAACAATAAATAAAGAGTACCGGTATATAGTCTCATTATAAACACAATAAATAAAGATTATATAGACTCATTATAAACAATAAATAAAGATTATATAGACTCATTATAAACAATAAATAAAGATTATATAGTCTCATTATAAACAATAAATAAAGATTATATAGTCTCATTATAAACACAATAAATAAAGATTATATAGACTCATTATAAACACAATAAATAAAGATTATATAGACTCATTATAAACACAATAAATAAATATTATATAGACTCATTATAAACAATAAATAAAGATTATATAGACTCATTATAAACAATAAATAAAGATTATATAGTCTCATTATAAACACAATAAATAAAGATTATATAGACTCATTATAAACAATAAATAAAGATTATATAGTCTCATTATAAACACAATAAATAAACACATTCGGGTGTCAATCAGTCTGAGATGCGTTCAGGTGTTAATCAGTCTGAGACGCGTTCGGGTGTAAATCAGTCTGAGACGCGTTCAGGTGTTAATCAGTCTGAGACCCGTTCAGGTGTTAATCAGTCTGAGATGCATTCAGGTGTTAATCAGTCTGAGATGCATTCAGGTGTTAATCAGTCTGAGATGCATTCGGGTGTAAATCAGAGCTTCAGGTTGACGTGCACTCTGTTTCTGTTCTTTTGTTTCAGGGTCGACGGCAGCAGAGTTTAACCCTGAAGGAAAGAGGAAACATTCAGTTTAAATCTGGAGGTGAGTGACATCATTTTCAGTATGTCAACCAGTACAAAACAGTATGACCAGTATAACCCAGAGTTACCTCATGTTCCTGCAGACTGGGAGGAGGCTGAGCGGAGCTATAAGGAGGCGCTGGTTTTATGTCCCGTCTGTTTCAGCAGAGAGAGAGCTGTGCTGTTCTCCAACAGAGCTGCAGCCAGACTGCACCTGGTACATGCTAACAACATGCTAACTACATGCATAAGAAATGCTAACCACATGCAGAGGGAATGCTAACCACATGCAGAGGGAATGCTAACCACATGCAGAAAGAATGCTAACAACATGCAGAAAGAATGCTAACAACATGCAGACAGAATGCTAACTACACACTAACAACATGCTAACTGTATCGCCTGTGTCTGTTTCTCAGGACCAGAAAGATCAGGCGATCTCAGACTGTAGCAAAGGTGAGTGATGACATCATTCTTTACCTATACAGCGTTCAAGCATCTCTGATTCGTTTGTTTGTTGATTGGACGTATTGTTACCATAGCAATAGAACTGAATCCAGACTACATGAGGGCGTTGCTGAGGAGGGCAGAGCTTTACGAGCAGACGGAGAAGCTGGACGAGGCCCTGGAGGACTACAAGAAGGTTCTGGACCTGGACCCAACCCACACTACCGCCAGACAGGCCTGCATGGTGAGTTCACTGACCGCTGGGACAAAAAAGAAATGAAGAATCGCAGTCATGAGTTAAAGTTTAAAAAAAAGACAGATATCATCACAATGCTGACTGCAACTGTCTCTCTCTCTCTGTACCTGTCTCTCTCTCTGCGTGCCTGTCTGTCTCTCTATCTGTATCTCTCTGTCTCTCTATCTGTATCTGTCTGTCTCTCTCTGTACCTGTCTGCCTCTCTCTCTGTATGTGTCTGTCTCTCTCTCTGCATCTGTCTGTCTCTCTCTGTATTTGTCTGTCTGTCTCTTTCTCTGTACCTGTCTCTCTTTCTCTGTACCTGTCTGTCTGTCTCTCTTTCTGTACCTGTCTGCCTCTCTCTCTGTACCTGTCTGTCTGTCTCTCTTTCTGTACCTGTCTGCCTCTCTCTCTGTACCTGTCTGTCTCTCTCTCTGTACCTGTCTGTGTCTCTCTCTGTACCTGTCTCTCTCTCTCTGTACCTGTCTGTGTCTCTTTATGAACCTGTCTGTATCTCTCTGTACCTGTCTCTTTCTCTGTACCTGTCTGTCTGTCTCTCTCTCTCTGTACCTGTCTGTGTCTCTCTATCTCTGTACCTGTCTGTGTCTCTTTATGAACCTGTCTGTATCTCTCTGTACCTGTCTGTCTCTCAGAGGTTACCTGGGCAGATTCAGGAGAGGAACGAGAAGTTGAAGGAGGAGATGATAAGTACGTACTGCACCTGAACACACCATCTTAAAGTAATAGTACAAAGTTTATGTGTTACAATGAGTGAGTCTTATTGTGAAGGTGTGTTTACCTGAATGACTTCCTATCTCAGGTAAATTGAAGGATCTGGGAAATCTGGTCCTGAGACCGTTTGGACTTTCAACCAACAACTTCCAGGTGAACCAGGACGCCTCCACGGGGTCCTACTCCATCAACTTTGTCCAGAGCTCCGGCGGCAACAACAACAACACATGATGTCACACAGAGCTGTCAGGTGTGGGTGTGTACCTGTGTGTTTAAATAAAAGCTGATTATTTGTTTATCTGTTTGTGTTGTTTTTTACGAGGCAGAAGGGCACACACCTGAGCTCTGAACGGTTACCATGGCGGGATAATCGGTTACCGTGGTAACTCCGGGGTTAAAATCTGAGTTTTCAGCTCACTTCCTATCAGGGTAGAGACTCTGCTCATGGACCAATCAGATCCCTTTATGACAGAGGTCTGATTATGAGGGGGAGAGAGAGACTGAGTGTGTGTTTGAGTTTCATATCAAATATATGATGGTGATGGATTTTAGACTGTTGTCTTGTGACAGACTAAACACTGAAGATACACTGAACATTAGGGCTGGGAATCTCTGAGTGCCTCATGATTCGATTCAAAACGATTCTGGATTCAAAGTCTAATTATGAATGAGTACATACTAAAGGATCCACTCCAGTCATCTGTGAGATCGGCTGAGTTGCTCTACTCAGCGTTCTACTGAGTTTAAGAGATAGCATTAGCACTTAGCATGGAGTGACTGATTAGCCAAAAAAAACGAAGAAAGTTATGAATAGATTTTAAATCTTAGAATCTGGATTTTTACGTAAATTGATTTTTTTCCCCATCTCGACTGAATATTGTTTCATATTAAGCTGTGAAGTGTGGGGCGCTGGTGGCACATGTATGGAGGCCATGGTCTTCCAAGTGGGCGGCCCGGGTTTGAATCCAGCCTGTGGCTCCCCTCTCGCATGTCATTCCCCACTCTCTCTCTCTCTGATTTCTGGCTTCATCCACTGTCCTATCTCTCAATTAAAGGCACAAAAAGCCCCAAAAATAATCTTTAAAAAAAAATGTATATCTTTATTTAGTTGAACGGATCCGAGTCTTCTGCCACCTGCTGGCAGTTTGTACAAACATCACCTGTATGCGAAGAGAACCATTTACACGCATGACCACATGGCGTTTGTAACGACACATCAGACGTCACGCTGAAGTAAGGTTTGTATTTGTTTTAAAACACAAACAGATTTTAAATAAAGACAAACTGAAGACGACTTCAACCCAACTCGTCTTCAGTTTCTTTCATTTAAAGCAACACTCTGTAACTCCTCCTTCAGTCGACTCAAAGTTGTTCGAATAGAACAACAACCTCCAACAGGGAGAATGGCGTCTCTCTCACCTGTCCACAGAGCGCCCCGCTCGCCTGTTTTCAGCACTATGGGCGCGGTCACACTGGCCATCTGCACCGTGCCCTACTCAAGCACGACTGGCCCCACGCTGGCCGGTCACACTGCACAGGACTAACCATGCCTAAGCACGATTACATCTTGTACATAACGTCGTAATATAACACATGCATGCTTTATGTTATTATGAAGCATAATTAATAATATAACGTATAAATATAAAATAATATAATTAATATAACGTCTGGATGTTGTTTAAAAAAGTTAAAGCGCTTTAAATTATGTTTCTCCATCAACACACACACACAGAAGTGAAGCTTCCACATTTTAATAAGAACAAACAAATACAGGTTACAGATTGTTGATCATATCTGACAGGTGTGTGTGGTGTGTGTGTGTCTCCGTGCTATTGCTGAGTCATCATTGGGCTCTCCTGGACAGCAGCATTTCTCTGATGTTGTCTTCTGCTTCCTTCACGCTGCGTTCAAGGTACACCTTCTTCTGCTGGAAATCACAGTACTTAAAGTTAGACCAATTAACACACACACACACACAAACACACGGTAAACAGTGTCTATCTCTGTGTACTTTCTGTATTTGTACCTCCAGTTCTTTTATTTTCTCGTCAGCTGTTTTCTGTTTGTCTGTCAGCTGATTGTTGATTTCCTCCTTTGACTGCAAGATGAACCTGAAGACACATGATACTTAATGATGACAGTGTTTTTCAATGTCTAGGTTAACAAGATCTGGTTGTCATGGAGACTTACATGCGTCCGACTCCCTCGTACAGTCGCGTGTTGTCAGGTAGCGTGGTGATCTCAGTGTGAGTTAAACTTAGCATGTTTCTGAAGCCGAGTCAGCTGATCGATCTGCAGGTCGGCCAACTTCACCTTCTGCTGAGTGTCGATCATCTTCACTGCAGCTCTGTGAACGCTACAACAGGAGGTATCACTCTGTTTCAACAATGCTCATAGCTCTCTTGACGCTAACGACCACTCTGAAAAACACCCCAACATGTTCACCTGCAGCTCTCTGAACGCCTACAACAGGGAGGTACCACTCTGTTTAAAAACACCCCAACAATGCTCACCTGCAGCTCTCTGAACGCCTACAACAGGGAGGTACCACTCTGTTTAAAAACACCAACAATGCTCACCTGCAGCTCTCTGAACGCCTACAACAGGGAGGTACCACTCTGTTTAAAAACATACCAACAATGCTCACCTGCAGCTCTCTGAACGCCTACAACAGGGAGGTATCACTCTGTTTAACAACCTGAACAATGCTCAGCTACAGCTCTCTGAACGCCT